TCAAGGAACGTGATCGTCCCCCTTTATTCGACATTGGTGAGGCCTCATCTGGAGTACTGTGTCCAGTTTTGGGCCCCACACTACAAGAAGGATGTGGAAAAATTGGAGAGAGTCCAGCGGAGGGCAACAAAAATGATTAGGGGGCTGGAGCACATGACTTATGAGGAGAGGCTGAGGGAACTGGGATTGTTTAGTCTGCAGAAGAGAAGAATGAGGGGGGATTTGATAGCTGCCTTCAACTACCTGAAGGGGGGTTCCAAAGAGGATGGAGCTCGGCTGTTCTCAGTGGTGGCAGATGACAGAACAAGGAGCAATGGTTTCAAGTTGCAGTGGGAGAGGTCTAGGCTGGATATTAGGAAACACTATTTCACTAGGAGGGTGGTGAAGCACTGGAATGCGTTACCTAGGGAGGTGGTGGAATCTCCTTCTTTGGAGGTTTTTAAGGCCTTGCTTGACAAAGCCCTGGCTGGGATGATTTAGTTGGGAATTGGTCCTGCTTTGAGCAGGGGGTTGGACTAGATGACTTCCTGAGGTCCCTTCCAACCCTGCTATTCTAGGATTCTATGAATGGCACAGAGCTCTTCTGTCGACTTAATTATTCCAGCCCCCGCGAGCGGCGGTGGCTATGTCAGCAGGAGAAACCCTCCCGCCGACACAGTGCTGTCCACACCAGTGCTTAGATCGTTGTAACTTACGTTGCTGAGGGGGGTGGCTTATTTACACCCCCGAGTGACATAAATTATACCAACCTAAACTGTAGCATGTACATAGCCTTATTTTGTTTATAAAGGTTTGCGTGTGTCAGCTGATGGAAGTGGAGGTCATGCTAGTCTTCCAGAATAGTTATCATTACAGGCAGCTCCCTTCAGTTTTAGTTTATTTAAAAACCCAATTCACTTGTGTTTACAGCATCAGAACATGACAACTAGAATTCAGAGGTCTGTTCATACATAGGAACAGCACCCTTCTGAAAAACCAATACTCATGTACGACAAAGTTATATATGCATTTTCTTTGATGCAGGAATTCAGTATGCAGGAAAGGTGCCAGAATGGACAGCACTGAAGACCGAAACCTTCTAGCAAGAGAACAAATACCAAAGAGGCAGTAGCAATGCAAACTTCCCCACACTTCCCAGTCGATGTACCTCAAACCTAACTCTCGGTGTCCACATCTAGTGTCTTTCAGAAGGGAGGGCAGTCTCTACAACCCATTAATTACCTGGCCTTTTTGCTGAGACTGCAAACTAGGGAGCAAATTAGTGTCTACTGGAAACTGGTGTCAGAGTAAACAGAGAATAGACGATAACTTTAGATTACTACTGAACTGGATGTGAATGGCTTTCTACCTCCTCACCAATCTCTTCATTCTCGCACTCGAAAACGCAACTAAAAGACACCCTCTTTTTCTTCCGTTTCTACTTAAGTTCTTGAGATGTAAGTGGCAAGGAACACAATGCATACAATACCATTTGGATGCATGTAGCAATATCGGGAATCTAATTCTACATGCACACACATAGTAAATGTTTTCTGACAATAACGGAAGACATTAAGGGTCCTATGGCACGACATGAAAGCAGCAGGCAATACCACCACCTCCTAGGCAACATTCTCTTTATAGATCAGGTTCTGATGTCCAAGTCTGGGTGCAAACCGTTGCTGAGCACACCAAAACTGCTGTTTGCCTAGACAATGACTGCACTATGACTACCTCGCGTCTCTGAAAAGTGCTTCGGGGTCAGAAGCTGCATTAAGAACCTTTATCTAAAGATACATAAATGCCTAATGTGTACATATTTACAATGAATATTTGTGTTAATGAATTTCCAACCCATTTACTTCAATCTCTTATCTCCTTAGTTTATAAAAAAAGAGCCTTATCAAACAAGCGAACTGGCTGAAGATATGTAATTAACAAAAACGCACTGCACTGACCTCAGGGCTTAAAAGGTTAAAAACACCCTTTTCCAGACTGTGTGGAAAGGAAGAACAATTCATTTTGGAAATCCTGGTTAGATCAATGCTTAAACCTTCATTCTTCTCCTGCTGCAATATAAAACTGAATAATCTGTCTTCAGCAGCTGGAGGGAAAAACTATGGCAAACAAATGAAAAATCTGAATGAAAGAAAATGATGATGTCTTTATGGCCTATTTTCTTGTTTTCTGAAGATAGTTTAAATTCAGATGTGTAGACAAAAGATGTAAAATGAGACACTCAGCTGGTTAAAATGGAGCAAAGACAAACAAGGAAAACAACCCCTCAGATTTGCAGTGCTTCAGACTCAGGCAAATATGTTATGTTAGTCTTTTTGCTTTCGCAAGACAAAAACTTAATGAGCTCTCTTATATACCCAGGGTAACCTGTGTACAGTTAACTTTGATCTAATGAAGCTACATTTATACTAATGGAACACGAAAATCTTAGACTGTCTCAGTGCATCACAACATGCAGAATGCAATTCCAGTTACAGGGCTGGTACCTGTTTTTGCTGAAGGCCAATAGGAGTTTTGCCATTAACTTTACTGGATGTCAAACTGTATTTCGGAGTGAAGTTATTCACAGGGGAAAAGAAAGAACTTCCATGTAACAGGGTTCCACTGCAAATATATCACAGTCAATTTCCCTATATTTTGGTTGTTTCACCTACAGCCTGTGCGGTTTCCTAATACATTGTGGTCATATGATGGGAAAGAAATCTTATTAACACTTTCTCCAAATTGTATTCTTGTTAATGAGGTTTACACTTACGTTTCCTTGCTTGGCAAGGTGAGAGATCCTCCTTTTTTGGCCAGGAAATAGAGTGGTTAAAGCGTCATCCATCTTTTCTTCACTTGCCTCTTCTTTCAGTGGCTACAAAACAAAAGAGCAAACTTCCAAAATGGAATCGACTCAAGTTTCTGCTCCATGGGGATGTTTGGAAAGCCTCCCTCTGGGATAATGGAACCATAAAGGGAAATTGCTTCCAGACAGCAGGTGAGTACAAACTACTACCAGCTGCTAAACTACTGAAAGAGAACCAGCTTTCAAAATAAGAGGCACCAGTGAAGCAAATGAATAACAGCATTACTGTTCCCACCCATGCAGCCCATTCACGGATCTTACAATAGGATGCCTTGGTATAACCTATTACAGACACTATTCTATTGGCCGCCCTTAAAGATTGAATGCTTCAGCAATGCTGTTTACCTGCCAACCACTTACATACCTCAATGTGTTAGCAACATTTTTAAAGCCAAGGAATTTAATTAAACTCTAGATTAGTTAATTTCTTGGTCCCACATAATGATCTCTCACCGAGCAGGCCCTGAAAAGCTGCAGCGCACTGTGCCTCAATGTCACTATTCTGCTTTTAAGAAACAAGGCAACCCTGCAGCTATATACAAGACTAATCCATCGAGGGACTGTGGTGCCAAATGCAGAGATGCTTTGTTCACGAGGCAGAAACAAAGGATAGAACAACAGCTTTGCAGTAGAGAAGATGCTTTTTAACGCTCCTGTTTCCAGACACTTGGGCCTGGTCCCCACTAACCCCCCACTTCGGACTAAGGTACGCAAATTCAGCTACGTTAATAACGTAGCTCAATTCGAAGTACCTTAGTCCGAACTTACCGCGGGTCCAGACGCGGCAGGGAGGCTCCCCCGTCGATGCCGCGTACTCCTCTCGCCGAGCTGGAGTACCGGCGTCGACGGCGAGCACTTCCGGGATCGATCCGGGATCGATTTATCGCGTCTAAACCAGACGCGATAAATTGATCCCAGAACATCGATTGCCTGCCGCCGGACCCTCCGGTAAGTGTAGACGTACCTTTGATTTGCCAGATAAAAAGCCACTTTTGGGCTGACTCCTCAGACTTGTTCCCAGCAAACAAACCAACCTGTTTAGCAAAGTTGATAAAACTCCGTTTAGCTGGTTGAGTTATACAGACATGTACAATGAGTGTTGCACATATTAACTATTTTAGAGCCGTCTCCGTGCTCTGATCATTCTTATTTTTAACACTCTAAAAGAGCCACGAGCAGAGTTCTCAAAGGAGCTAAATTTGACATTCACAAAGAAATTTCGTTTAGACAAAGCTATAGACGTGATCTTAGGAAAAGCTCAGTTCTCACCTAAGCGTCTAAACAAGAGCCGGATTTTCAAAAGCGTCCCACTGTGACATTCATGACCAGGTCTTCAAAACTGGTCAGGTCCTAATTATTTAGGGATCTCAACAGGAGTTTTTTTTTTCCCTTAAATCTGACCACAGAGTTCCACAGCGTTTAAGGCCAGAAGGTACCTTTAAATCATCTAGCCTGACCTCCTGCATATCACAAGCCATTACAGTCCATCCAGATACCCCTATATTAAGCCCAAATACTTGAGTTAGACCAAAGCATTTCAGTCCTCAAGAGACTAAACTGTGTGCCACCGGCAGAGAACAGGAAAGCCCTATGTCCGAGGCAATGACAAGGAACGGGTTAGATGAGATAAATGCAGATAATCCCAGCAGGATGGATCCTGTTAGATTCCTAAATAGGAGCTGTTGAGTGCTGAACTCTTTTAAAAATCTGGCCCTATAAATACCTTCAAAATTAACAACTCACTGAGATCTGGGGCTCCGGGCTGGTTTTTAAAGCAGAACACACCTAAATAAGCACCTATTCAGAGGTATCTTTCCCTCTTAAAAGACCAATCTTCTCTCCTCTTAATCTTCAATAGCTATGGGGTGCAAGGGAAGGAAGCCTTCTCCAAAAAGGGAAAATTAAAGCCTTGAGGAAGGACTATAAAATGCTGTGCGTGCAAGGACCAGTTAGTTGCTGTGAGAATGTTGCCCTATGAACATTTCCATTCTGTGCCATAACACTGCTTTTGCACAGTTTCATTGAAGTGAATTAGAGCCCTCATTTCAGTACTTTTTCAAGGGAAAAAGAGTTATAAGAACTCCATCATTTTTGCACTATGCAACATTTGGAAAGCTCGAAGACGACGACAAACCTTCCTTGCTATAAACAAAGTGGCATGTTGTTAAACTCCTTTCATTTAAAATTGGCAACATAGAGTTTATTGCTATTGTTGGGACCTTCTTATTAAAGCGTGAGGCTTTTGACAATGGGAACACAGACAATTAAACAACTCTCACCTACCCTTTCCTAAACACCATCAAAAGAATGCCTGTGTTTAAACAGTTATTTTCTTCCGAACTATTAAACCAGCAGAATCAAGTAACAGGGAAACCTCCTTTATAATTTCTTCCACCAAGGCCCTAACATCAGTGTCACATATGTCATTACCTGTCAGCAAGAGAGAACATTAGGCTCTGATCAGTGCCATTACAGCAAGTAATATCTAGAATCAGAAGCTGTATTAGCCAGTCAGTCTTTCATGGGGCAAAATTCTCTTCTCCATACAGCAGTTGTGGCTTCAGTCAAAGCCAATCAGCAACTTCTCAGGTGCTTAGGAGCATTTGTCTTTTAATATCATGCTTTGTTCAACACATGCCGAATGCATCTAGTTATCTCAACTTCATCAAAGAAGCCTTAATCTGGACATAGTGAGCCCATACAATACACCTGTCTCAGTTAAATGTAACTCTTTGGTACGCTCCATTGCAATCAGATGTGCCTAAAAGAGAATATTGGTGATAAAGGTTTTCGGTGTTTCTTTGAATAAAGGAAATCAGATTTTTTCTAGAGTCTATTCCCAGTTTGATTTCCAGAAACACCTGCTATGGTGCAAATGAAGTGATCCCCAATAGAAAACTTAACAGCATTATGTTTGACATGAAATCAAGTGCTTCTGTTCATTTGCAGCCAGCCACACATTTAGCTGAGGGTTTGTTCTCATTGACTCGTTAACTCAGATGTCAAAAAGATGGAGGATAAGATTAATTTATTTCTACCCTATCATCCCGGAGGCCACTAAAGGATTATTACTGACAGCGTGTTTTCTAGAGCTTTGCCCTACTTAGTTTTAAATGTCTCCATGGATGGGGCTTTCTACACTTAATCAGGAGACTATGCCACAACCATAGGGACCTCACTGTTATGCAGCTTTTAAGATAAATGTTTTTTTTTCCTTTATTTCATCCCATTCCTCCAAATATCTTTTGTATCATGCTGAATAATTCTTCCCGCCACTTAAGAGTTTACACTATTCATGTATGGATGGATGGGAATCCTTATGCAGGAATTGAACTATGAGAGTTTAAAATGGCAAACATGTAGGCTTTCAGAGGGTCCCTTTAAAAGTATCAGCTAGATCAGGGGTTGGCAACCTTTCAGAAGTGGTGTGCCAAGTCTTCATTTATTCACTCTAATTTAAGGTTTCATGGGCCAGTAATACATTTTAACGTTTTTAAAAGGGCTCTTTCTATAAGTCTATAATATATAACTATTGTTGTATGTAAAGTAAATAAGGTTTTTAAAATGTTTAAGCAGCTTCATTTACAATTAAATTAAAATGCAGAGCCCCCCGGACCGGTGGCCAGGACCTGGGCAGCGTGACTGCCACTGAAAATCAGCTCACGTGCCGCCTTCGGCACACGTGCCATAGGTTGCCTACCCCTGAACTAGATCAGCGGTTCTCAAACTGTGGGTCGTGACCCCAAAGTGGGTCGTGACTCCGTTTTAATGGGGTTACCAGGGCTGGCATTAGACTTGCTGGGGTCTGGGGCTGAAGCCCAAGCCCCAAAGCCCGACAGGTTCAGTCCTGAGTGGCGGGGCTCAGGTTACAGACCCCCCTCCCCCTCGCCTGAGGCTGAAGCCTTTGAGCTTCGACTTTGGCCCACCTGCACAGGGTGGTGGGGGGCTCAAGCTTTGTCCCCCCTCCTGAGGTGGCCGGGCTCGGGCGTGCTCAGGCTTTGGTCCCCCATCCTGGGGTCATGTAGTAATTTTTGTTGTCAGAAGGGGATCACAGTGCAATGAAGTTTGAGAACCCCTGAACTAGAGAATATCCCAATATTCAACTAAATATTGGTTATGGGCTATGAAATGCTACAGGACACTAAAGGCAGTTGGTTTAACATCTAGATTTGGAGGCAGGGGAATGACTGACTAGTGTTGAATTCAGAATGAGCATTACCTGCTTCCCTAGCCTTCCCTTGTCTTCTGTTTTCACATCCGTGGATTCGTTAAAAATTCTGAGGCACTCTTCCATGGGGTCAGAGTCATAATCCAAATCTTTCTCCAGGACGGAATAATCAATGTCATCAGAGGCTGAGGAGGATGAAGATGACTTGGACAGCTTGGAGCGCTGAATGCTCTTTGTCCCTTCATTATCACTCTGAAAACCATAGGAGCCATCATCGCCATCGGAGTCTGAGCTCATGTTTGGAAATGGAGCCAGAGATTGGCCCACCTTCTCCTCCTCCCCACTCTCATCTCCAAAAAGGTCCACGTGGCTCAATGTCCGCTGTTTCGGCTTACACTTGCCTTTTGAGTTCCCCACTTTCGCAGGGCTTGCCTTCTTTTTTGGACGATCAGAGGCAGAAGTCTTGCCCCCTTTGTCTTTGTGTTTATCGCTAGAGGCTTGTTTGCCATTTTTCAGATCAGCTGCCTTTAGCACGGAGTCCTTCTTGCTACCTTCCAGCTTCTCTGTGCTAGCTCCCTTACAGAGTCCCTCATTCTTGCTCTTCCCTGAGCTGGCTGCACAACTGGTGGACTTAGACTTCTCTTTCTTAGCCACTTTTTCCAATTTCTCTTTTTCAGATTTCTTCGAATTCCCGTCTGGTTTTGCTTTGATACTTTTCTCTTTACAGTTTTTTTCTCCATTTTTAATTTTTAATTTTTCTTCTTTCTTGACTATTCTCTCTTTCTTTGTGTTTTTACTTTTCTCCTTCTTGCCCATCTCTTTGTGGCAAGGGGGTTTCCTGCCATCTGTTTTTTTCTTTTTCATTTTGTCTTTTGCAATCTCTTTGCTGTCTTTCTCTTCAACATCCTGATCATTCTTGCCAGAAGATGCCTTTGCCAATTTTGTATTCTTCTCCGACAAGTCTTTGACAAGATTTTTCTGTGGACTTTCAATATCTTCCATGTCATACTGCACTGCCATTTCTTTCATCTCCCGGGAATTTAGGTCTTCCAGTTTGGTGCTCTTTTCTTTGATGGACAACCCATCACTTGATTCATTTTCAGAACTGACTTTAGATTGTAAACGGCTAACGGAGGTTGGCTGGTATTCCAAGTCGACATCCTCTTCAGAGTCAGAGAATTTGGCATACGTTCCATAGTTATTGGATACATTACAGTGCTTTTTGCGTGAAGGAGAATAAGATTCTCCATGACTAGAGACCTTTCTCCTTTTGGTCCCCTTCTGCTCCTTTGTGCAGGCTTTGCTCAAAAGCCTTGCTGAGTAATTTGAAAGAGGGTCATATTCCAAGTCCGTAGAAGGCTTGGAGTCATCAATCACATACTTATTGTTCGTGACAACGCTACTGTATTTTTTAGGCTGAGCCACAACCTTGGGAACGTATTCCAATGAACTGCCTTTGGATTTTGCATTATCAAAAGTATCCAAGGTGTATTTACTTGAACTAGCAGCAGCCAAAGGCGTAGGGTTGTAGTCTGTGTTATTATTCAAGTTATAGCTACCTGGGTTATATTCTAAAGAGTCTGTTTTTGTCACAGCAGCTGATACAGGTGTTTTGGAAATAAGCGAAGTAGCCTCAGATGTGCTGTATTCCTTTGTTGTCTCCAATAGCTCCTCATACTTTTTCTGCTCTCTCTCAACTTCATATTTTACCTCTTCAATGGCCTTGTTGACCAACTCCAGCTGCAGAATGCTAGGGGTTGACACTGTAATGTCACCCAAAGCACCATTCACTATTTGGGTCGAAGGCTTGGGAAGCTCAGGGTTATATGGATCATAACCAAGCTCTGTAAGGGGAGAAAAAAAAAAGTATCTTAGATCCAGCAATTTTTCTAAAGTAAGATTATCTTTGACTATGTATGAAATGTCTATTAAAGTCTAAAAGAGAAGCTCCACTATCATCAGAACCCGGCATTGGAAAGATATGTAACAAACCAACAAAAAAAACAACCAAAAACATGCTCTTGCATGTGGAATGGGACACACTAGCTGCTCAACATTCTCCAACTTGTGTGAAGCAGGAGGTCAAACTAGGTGATCACAATGGTCGCTCCTGGTCTTAAAGCCTATGAATAATACACCGTTGTGAATCCAATGCCTTTATAACTTACCACTGTTTTGAAAAGCTCTATAGGTAAAATTTTCATTTGTGAATTTAAAATTCAGTTTTCATCTAAATGATAACTAAAACTCCATCTTGTTACTACACATATCTGCTCCTCCTATTTCGCCGTGTCCTAGCTACTTAATGTAAAGAGTTTTTAAATTATTTTTATTACTGTAAGCACTGCAGAGCTAACATGGTTGCACAAGAACTGTATTTTATTGTGACAAAAATTGCCAACCAAGTTCTAATTATTTTTTACCGTTGATGCCAGTGTCTGAAGCACCAAACATCTCCCAATTTCACTTGCAGTCCACTGAGGTTTGTGACTGGGAGGGAGAAAACCTTACCCTGGCTGATAAACTGAGCAAATGTGACACAGAAGTCACTGAAATGGAACAAAGTACCACCATTAACGGGTCCTTTAGAAAGGTAAAACTACACTTCAATTTCATAGAGCAAGGAGATTAAGGCAGTGTATTAAGTACGCTCACAAAATTTAAAAGATAACCAGAAATGTTTGACATTTGTCTTTCCACAAATCTCTTTTCAGATGTTGCAGCTTCCTCAGATAATTATAACATTAAAACTGTCTGAGAATCTTGGAGCATGCAGACTCTGAACAATCCACCTTGGCACTTAGACTAATTGCAGTGATATCCTACCACTCCATTTGATCTTTTACATAGAAATAGAGAAGAAAGAATTGCTGGGGAGATTTTTTTGGTGAATGCATTTTTACTCTTGCTGTATAAGTAGTTTGCACATCACTTGAAAATTTTACATCTATTTATCCAAGTAGGAGATAGCAACTTTCAATTGAGACATTAAAGTCAAAGAAAATCAGTAAAGCATAGACTGATGTCTTATCTGCTCACAAGGCACCCGTATGCTAACCAGTGTACATAATTTTGTGGCAATTATGTAGTCAGCAAGCAACTTGCTCCCTCGCTAAGTACCAGGCACAGAAAAAGATAATTTTCTCCTCTGTAATTAACAGAAGTTCATGATAACAATCATGATTCAGGGCCACTAAGTGCTACTAAACTGGCCTGTTCATCCCCCTACGTTTCTAAAAAACGAACCAAGATCTCAATCAAAATGATTCTGCTGAACTCACAACATTAACTTAAGAAAAACTTACTAGTTTATACTGAAAACAGGATGTATTTTAAAAGTAAATCAGTAAAAATAATGAGTTTGAGAAACCACTGGCTAAGCCTTTGTGCAGAACATGGCTAGAGCTCAGGGCTCTGCAGAGATGGAAAACAAGATGGTTTTTCATGTTGCTTCCTGAACAAGGGCTACTCAAGGCAGTACATTAGAACAAACTGCAAAAATGGAAAATGCACGAATGCGAAGACTTAACTTAGGTTTTAATCTTGTCAACTGACTCAAAACTAGAAGAGACAGAATCTTCTTTCATGGCTTTTATTGTTTATGGCCAATTATAAGAATATAAGAGTTGCCATACTTGGTCAGACCATGGTCCATCTTGCCCAGTGTCCTGTCTCCGATACCATACCATACCAGAGTTTCAGGGGAGTGTACAGAACAGGGCAATTATGCTTTCCACTCCCAGGATAAATGATCTTTTTTTAATCCCTATTATAGGATGGAGGTAAATCCTAGGTAATGAACTCTTTGAAAGATCAAAATTTGTCAGTCTACTCTCACGCTATTAATCCAGGGGTGGGCAAACTTTTTGGCCCGAGGGCCACATCTGGGTATAGAAAGTGTATGGCGGGCCATGAATGCTCATATTGGGGGTTGGGGTACAGGAGAGGGTGAGGACTGGGGGGGGGGA